CCGCCTCGCCCGCACCCGCGTTCCGCGCGCCGCCCGGCGCACTGCCGGCCGGCGGCGGGGCCGGCGCGGCGGCGGCGGCCGGGTCGGCGGCGTCCGGGGAGGGGGCGGCGTTGCGGCGGCGCATCAGGCGCTTCAGGAGAGCCATCAGGAAATCACCCTGCAGGGAAATGTGTGCGTGTGTGCGTGTGTGTGTGGGCACGGCGGAGTGAGGGTGCGCTCCAGTGCCAGGGTCTACCGCCACCTGTACTGTGCAGCAGAAAAGGATTCCGAGGGGTCAACACCTGCGTCCGTCACTCTGTGCCATACCAGAGTTTGGTGGGCGTGTCTCGTCCAGAAGATGCACTGAAACAATGTCAAAAACGAAGCTCACAATTGAAGAAAACGAGCTCTTGTACGTGCACACGTAAGCACGCTTGGACATACACACTTGCGCACGCATGGACTCACATTCGCACGCGCACACGCGCGGCACACACACACACACACACACGCACACCCGCACACACGCACACACACACACACACACACACCCCACACACATACACAAGCGTGCGAAGGTGTCACCCACCTGCATCGTCCGCTCGTGCACCTCATCCACAATCACATGAGTCACTCCTGACAGCAGCGGGTCACTCGCCAGCCTGGTGACGCACAGATGTTTGGCAATAAAAGTGTGGATGGTCAGCAGATCATAAGCAGCATGATGCGCGAAGGATGATCGCTCTTGCGGGTGTGCATGCTCCTGCAAACACATGGCCGGAGCGCAGAGCCCGTACCGTCCCGCGCAGCGCCGATTTGGCTGCGGGCGCGGGCGTCTGTGCGCGGTGGGCGAGGGGGCGGCCCGCCCCGCCGCTCACCGGCGCAGCAGGATGCCCGTGGTGCAGAACAGCAGGCGCGTGTCCCGGGTGGCGGCGGCGTCCAGGCGGACGTGGTAACCCACGAGGCCACCTGGGGTGTGTGACGCAAAGGGCAGAGCATGCTGAGTCAGCTCCGAGGCACAGGTCTGTTTCGCATCCCACAAGGGAGGGGCGGGGAGGGGGTCTGGCGGAAAGCAAGCGTCGCGAGCGTCCGGGGAGCGGCAGCAAAATCGAAATCACGTCTGCGGCACGTGTAGATGTGCATTCGCACTGCTGACCCTGCTGCTGCTGCCGCGCAGGCCGCGCCCGCTCTCACCGGGCGCCCCGGGCTTGGGCTCCCCCCGCTCCGCGGCCACCCTCTCAGCGACCGATGTGGCGGCGATGCGGCGGGGCTGAGTCACCACGACGCTGACGTCAGCGCCGCAGCCCGCCAGGATGGCCTCTTCCAGGATGAACTGGGGCACCTGTCGGTTTTCGAATTCAAATTTGAACCAAAATTGTGAATAAAAAGCGGTTGGGGTCGCACGCGTTTCTACATTGACCATGACCGATGGTGGTTCAGTCTTGGGCTTCCCAAAGCCAGTTGCTTGCTGCCTTTTTGAGTCGCCGCAGAGGAGGACAGCCAGAGATGCCGCAAGGTGTCGACCTTCCCTGGCAAGGTCGAAACGCGTAGCCGCGCCGCCCCCACCTGGGTCGTTTTTCCAGACCCGGTCTCGCCGCTGACAACGACAACGTCTGACGTTGCCAGCGCCGCCGCCAACTGCTCCCGCATCGCCGCCATGGGCAGCTGCCCGCGCTCGCGCGCCCAGCGGCGGCCCTCCGGGGACCCCTGCCTGCGGGGCGGGAACGGAGGGCGCGCAAGGGTGGGTACAAATAAGACAAACCCTTAGGGCCGAGCGTGGCGCACCACCCCCAACGCCAGGGTGCTGCGCACGCGCAACACACGTGGCCCGGCGGCGCCGCCCGAGGCGCTGCCTGCGCGCGGTCGTGCGTATTTACCCCTCACAGCGCTGCCCACGCAGTCCCAGCAGGCAGCAGCTGGGGTGGTGTCCAAACCCTCAACCCTCAAAACTCCGCCCCAGGCGCCCCACCCACCAGGCGACCAGCCGGTCCCGCATCGCCGCGCCCCTCGCTGCCAGCCGCGCCCGCTCCTCCTTATCCCGCCGCGCCGCCTCCTCCCGCATCTGACTCAGCACGCGGTCCGCCTCCGCCGCCGCCGCCGCGGCCGCCGCGCCGCGCCCGGCCAGCTCCCATTCCTCCGCCTCCTCGCCCGCCGTCGCGCGCTCGGCCCCGAGCAGCTGCGCGGCGGCTGCCTCGTCGCCGTCCTCGGCGGCGGCGGCGGCGGCGGCGGGGGCGGACGCGGAGGAGGGCGTGGCGGCGGCGGCGCCGCGCGCGTCTGCGCCGGCCTGCTGCTTCTCCTCTAAGAGGGATCTGGGCATTAGAAGGAGTTTGGATGCTTCAGGTTTGTGGATGGGGGCTGGCAGGATGCAGCACTTCCAATCCTCAAGCGCGCGTGTGAACAAGACCACCAACCTCTAAACACCATCGCGAGGTGTTCCCATCCTGTTTGACACAACACACAGGATTGCAGCCCTCACATTTAATCACACGCGCGTGCACGCGCACACTCAAGCACGCCTGCAAGCGAGTGCGCGCCCGCATAGACACACACACACGCCCGCGCGCGCGCGCATCCACGGAGACGCAGACACGCGCATGTACTCACCTCAAGAATTCGTCCCTGGCCCTCTCCCCCTCCTGCGCCGCGCGCCCGCCCCGCCCTGCGCCGCCCTCGCCCTCCCAGCGCCCCCAGAGCGCCGTGTGCTCCTCCGGCAGCTGCTCGGCAGCCGCCGCGTAGGCCGGCGGGTCGGGGCGGAGCAGGTCGAAGAGGGCGCGCGCGGCCGCCGCGTTTTGGGCTTCTTGGATTGAGGTCCAGTTGTCCTGTTGAGTGGTGGGTTTGCATGTTGTTTGATTACTCCATGTGTTGTTGTCAAGACAGGTAATGGGGGAGACGGCCAGCAGCGGGTTTGGTCGGGCAGTGAAAGCGGAGTAACAGGCAGAACAGAGGGGTGGGGGTGGACGGGGGGGCCTGGCCTCTGCGAAAGCGCTCGGCTGCAACCCAGGCTCCGGGTTGTGATGGCCCCTGGCGTGCGCTGTGCGCACCGCCACAGCAAGCAGCCTGCATCGTGGATCCCGTGCCCCCCATGCCCCGGGCGCGCGGCCGGCCGACGCGCCTCGTCAGCAAATAGCTGGAAGGTCTTGGGCAGCTGCACAGCCCCCCGCCGCCCCCCGCGCCCGCCGCCGCGCGGACCGCCGCCGCCGCCGGCTGCGGGCGCCTCGATCGTCACTTTGTAGCGGTACGTCGCATCCTTTGAAGTCAGCGGCACCCCCGGCTGCTGTATCCGCTCGAACCGCGGCGGGCCCCAGCCCATCTTGGAGCAGTGCTGCTGCAGCAGTGCCTTTGGCAGCCGCCGCTCCACTGGGGCCGGCACGGGCGCGCGC